TAAAAAAATGTCTCCACATATTACCGCCTATTGACCAGATCGGTGTGGTGTCGACATTAGCCACGTTTGTCTGTACTTTCTTGAATAGCTTTGATAAACTGTATTACAATGATTCGAAGTGATTTGATGTCTGATAATCGAGCAAAACAGTACACGCGACTGTTTGCTCACTGTAGATAAAAGCAGTAATCGGACGGGTATCGGTCTAAGTTGGTCGGCATCCAATTCCGTTGCAAACCGTCAACAAGTATTCACTTACCTCTTGCTTCTCTTTTAGAGTGTTCTCCAAAACGGTGGTTAGGTCACGCAGGCTTGACAACTCCATGTGTACTGAATGAAAATGAGGTGAAAAACAGAAATACCGTTGATATCACACAATCGATGATCGTTGCAGAGTCCTACTATCTACGTGCACCGTTGAGTGACACGCACAGATGCACAAATAGGTCGAGTAAGTGATTTGTAAACCCCGAACTGTGATCATTCGGCCGCAGTTAGCGTGTCGAATGCATTTGTGTGTCCCCCTTATAAGTGAGGCTGTTTAACGGACAAATATCCACTACCGAGAGCACCTATTGAAAATCAAAACTATCTCATATGGATCGCATTAGGACAGCATAGATCCTTAAGCACGCGGAGACCTTCATGAAGCGATATCGCGTGGCGTAACAAAATCTTAATGTGAGCGAAAAACGGACAGATATTAAAGGGCCGCAAACGTACGCGAACCGGATTTCGAGTAACTTAACCACTTGTCCATTTGGTTCTCATACGTTCGTTCGGCTGCTGCTCATTTGACAGCATACAAATTTTGCGGGCTGAGGATCGCGCGGTTTCGTGCCTTGAGCCGAAACAGATGACCAAGAAGGATTGTGTTTTAGGGGTAACCCGCGGTTGTTCATCTCATACGGATAACAATCAGCGAGTTGTTGGGACTGTAAAATCGATCTTTACTTCCATGTTCTTTTTGTTTATGTTTTTCTATGTACAGTGATCACAAGTATCGGATTTAACATCCTGAAAGGATCCTCGCAGTTTGTGTAACATCTCGATCCAATGAGGAATGAATTTGTGTGTGACTGACACTAGTAATGTTTAGTTGCTTGCTTTTCTAAAGAGAACTAACTTTAGCGATAGCATGACTTGATTTTACCTGACTTTGCACTATGCAGTGGGTTTCCAGTCCGAATTAGCATTATTTGATTCCGTATTACTACAGTTCATCCCTATTGCTTATCAAGTTACGATATAGTGTGAGAAGAACTGATTTACGCAATTGGAAATAAATCATGATATCATATGTTTTTACTAGCTTAATAGAAACCCGGAGGCTGTGGGTTCGAATTCCGCGATTTACCATCCCTGACTCTGTATTTCACCAGGTAATCTTTTACGGTCGGGGATTCCTTTCTAAAAATTGGCTGCCTAATATATTCAGCAGGCAAAAACCAGTAATCCGATTATAAAAACAACGCAATATAATTCACTAAAGATCAACCACATGCGCTGTCGACATTAATTTTACGCCCTTTGTAATGTGAGAAGCATAGAAACGTGTAACCAAGTGATTTTGAGAGGAATGAAGAATTATTTTCACGTCATATGAGGCGGAATATTTGTCACAGTGGACCGATTGAGCGACATAGCTCACCGAGTGAGGGTGAAATAAACGTTTCATATTTTTTATAAAATTTTTCTCCATCAAAAATAATTAATTTCTAAACCCTGTTTACAACTGAAACAAACTCTTCGAACCCGAGCTAATCCAAAGACAAGTGGACGAGAAAAGTATACCGAGGTAAGAAAACAAGTTTGTTTTTGTGATTCAATCACATTCTCAAGAATACGGGTGCATCAGTATTTCCGAGACCTCAAAAAATAGTCAGATTCGAGTGGAAAAAAGCAGTTTTATCACCACTTGTTTCAAGCCGACGTGCAATTTGTGATGACGACCAGAAATCCTTAATTGCGCGTTATATCTGCAGTAGCTAAAAGCGAGAAATCAACGTGGAACTTATGGAAAATGACTATTTTGGGATCTGGATGATACAGTTGCCCGGTACTGACCATTTTCTAAATCAACCTCGGACAAGGTCAACGTTTCGATTAGCACAGCATTTCAATTCAGTTTTGGCCGTCCGCTTTCAGCCCTTGATTTCGTTCCTTTGTACCTCTCTCAAGATCTGCAGTTCTGTTTACTCCCAATGAGGACGCGAACTGCGGCTCTTAACCTGTGGCATCTTTGTCTAGATGAAGTCTGACAATTCTGTCTGTCGATGAAATTCCCTTTGTCTGTCTCGGAATGGTTTTGATATAGTAGCTACCGATTTTTTGGTCAGTCTCTTTTGATCGGATGAAGCCACTGAGTCGATGACACTCTCCATCTGTTGAGACACCACTCTCCTGTACACTACGTTCAAAACACCACTATCCCGTGCTCTTGACCTGCCATGACGACAGATCAACCATATAGGTGACGTGCTCACCCGCACCCAGCTGGACAATTTATTCGCAAATGTTTCATCATCAACCGAAGTGACACCTTCGGTGTTTAGTTTTCCCTTGTTAACTTGTATAAGCTCTTTACCAATTTATTGTGCCACGACCCCTCCTATTTTTCTATTCCCAGTTCACCGTTGAACTACCACAGAGGGGATCGCCCTTCCGACGACGAGCCTAAGAACCCACCCAAGACGGAAGAATAATTCCCACCTCTAGTTCCTCGGCGAATTGAATTTGGAAGAATAGGGACACTAGACTGCGTTGGAAAGTGTTGTTTGAATTGATCGTTTGTTTTACTGCATCAATTGTGTTTTTACGACTGGTCTGTATAAGACTTTAATTTTACCCGATGAACAATCAGATTGGTTCAGGGCTATATATAAACGCTTGTGATTCCCTTTCCCAAATGTGATTCGTGTCCGGTGCACTTAAAAAATATATCGGGAGCACTTCTTGAAGAACCGACTTTTGACATGGACCATATCACTGATGTATAACCGATGCAATCAAAAGATTAGAAGCAGAACACTGCCACATGCGAACCACTTGAGATACCATCTCGGCTGTTGATGAACTAATTGTCCAGCTCAACGAACCGATGAAAATCAACCTAGTCATCCAGAGTTACGAGAACGAATTGACATACCTGGCCAACGTGACCGATGAATGAACTGGTGTTCACAAAACTGTGCACGTCAGTATTCAGCAGCAATCAATCTCTACGAACAGACACATTCGACTAAACATGTGCAAAGCCGGATCGAATAATATATCCAACTTTGATTGCACCAAGTGCTTATATTATCAACATAGGCTTGTGAGTAAACAAATGGTGGTAGAGTTCTTAAATTCGTGCGTTTACATTACCCGAGGTTTGCATAATGGGTTCACACTATTCGCGGTAAACATCCCATCGTGCAACCGGACTATCTTTGGGCACAATACCTTACTACCACCAAGGTTCGCTGCTGTGAAAAGAAGAGTTAGGACTCCAGGATTGTTCCTAGTTCATGTACGTCTGACCCATGGAAAAAAGCCGGTCGATGGACAAAAACTGCATTAGTGTGGTCATTTAAGCCCCCGAGATAACGCCAGCCAATGAACTACGCGTTACATGGTTTTAAGACAACGAATCACAAACCAATATTATCTATCGGTCCATCAAAGACCATGCAGTTCAAACGGGGGTCTTGTGACTCGGAGAATACGAAAGGTCATTGTTTGATTCCTGCGTAGCCAGAGACATTCCTATCTACATATTATTTAATCCCATAGATTTCTTTCAATAAAATAACCGCTGTTTCAATGACCTTCCTGCTTCTCGGTGACGGTCGTACTTCGCAGATCACAACGATTGTGATTTCGTGATTCAATTGTGATCGCGATGGCTGGTTCGTGATTCGTGTCCACAAAAAATACTACAATTGGCCGAGACCTGATGAGAAAACATTAAGAAAACGTCTTCCACGAGAGCCTCAGGAATTTCACACATGCATCGTTTGCAATTGGTTTGGATCACTGGGTTAGTTTTTCTTAAATTGGCTGCCTGGAACGCGCTCTGTTCGACAACTATCCGGGGAAATTTCAGCTTGACACTATCTTCTTCACAGATGACCTCCTCGAGTATCAGGAGCATGCAAGTCAACTTAAAACCTCATGATCAAATCTTTCAAATACGTTCACGCCAGCGAACATTTAGCAATGTGTATGCAGTACTAAAAATGGGGAACACGATGTTTTCACAAACACGTGACTGATTTTGCGGTTATTGTCGCTAATCTGCTGTGCGTACCTGGAACTCTTTCATGAAGATATTCATCTGTTCGAACCCCCAAAACTCATTTACCTTGTGAATTTCGAGTACACATCTCGGGAAGTACTTTTCTCGAACAGGCTATTATCAAGTTGTTTATGTGTAAATCACTGCTGTAACTCCACACAGAGTGAAACCCACGTCCAAGACCATCAAAGTGCCTGGTGCCTCTGAACAATCACAATTCAAGTCTGAAACTAAATAGTTCCGTTCACTTTGTACAACCATCAAGCATACACTTTTGTGAGCGCGTTTCGGTTGTTGTCTTTTGACTGCTCATTTGGATGAAGGAATATAAGAAAGATTGGAGAGCAGAAGGTAGAGTCGAAGAGAAAATGGAGGATTTCAATAGATTAAGGTTGCAAGCATAATTAGTAAATGCACGAGCGTGGGGGATATGATGATCTGTTTGTTTGAATGAAGCGTGAGCTGAAAATTTAGAGGATGCAGTGGATAACTGTTTCAGCATGGTTGGGTCTCATCAGCAGTACAGTTCTATCTATTCAACTCATGAATATATCTTCCACTACTCTCATGTAACAAGTAGTTAGGTTACATTGTCTCTAACGAAATCATAACCTTACGGTTTGGTGCTGAGATGCGATGCCTGCATTATGGTAGCAATGATGGGTTGTCCTCTATTGTGAACAGAAATCGGTGTGGTCGAGTGGGTAACATGCTTGCATTCTACCTCGGAGGTTTCGGGTTCTATTCCCGATTGAACCGAAGAATTCGCATTGCCGATGAGGTTCAACCAGGTAGAATCAGTTGTCTAGTGCTCCCTAGGCTTTCAGCTCACACTTCATTTACACGACGAATTCAGTATAACTTCGAACCCGTAGCTCAGCTTACATTGAAATGCATCGGTCTCCTCAAAAACAGTTTGGTCTTCACCACCCTTAGTAACTGAGATCATCTCACCTCGTATTCCATCGATCTATAATGACCAACAACAGCACGTGAGAGTGGAATACGTCGGGCTTGCTATTGAAAGTTAAATCGATTTGACACGGTTCATTGATTTATCGTTTTGTGACTCCTAAGAAGTGTTCAATGTTTCAACCGCACTTTTAATGATATAAGTGAATAATAGCGGATCTTCAAAAACGCATTCTTCTTCATCGTGCCCAGTAAAAAAGTGCAAAAAACAAACACATCACAGCGACTGGAATCGTGAATTGGACTAAAGTAAATAATCAATATTTTTAGACTGACAATTAAATGAAACTGACCTTCCTCCTCGGCATTCTTAACTCTTTCCCGAAAAGATCTGGCATTCTGTTCCAATGTTTTGAGAGCGCCATCTCGTTCGGCCATGCATTGTTTCAGCTCGGTTTGTGTATGCACCAGTAAACTACGAATGGGAAAAATGCCGATCCCGTTTTCATTAAGGCAACGCATAAGAACTATTCAAAACGTCACATTCGCTGTGATGACATATATCGAGGAATACTTTCAGTGAGATCTTTTTCTAGTCATTTTCATAGTATGAATATGTTCAGCAAACTTCGTTCAGGTTGAAAAAATAAGTCGTTTCCAGTTTTTCACAAAGGTGAATAAGTGGCAAAAAACTATAACCGACCGATACGAAACGCTCTGTTGAAAGTTTTAATGTGATGTAACCGCCAGGTTTAGACGGTTCACAGATTTCTCCCGAACATAACATTAATTTACGGACACTGATTCACCACAAACAGTGTACTAGTGGTACTAGTCATCCGGAGTCATTTATCCATTTACATGTTGAAAATATGAAGCCCACGTTGTCTGCTCGCACGTGTTCATAAAAATATGTTATCTTTGTAGTACAAAAGGACGAATATAACGTACCAAATGGATGTGCACGTACGTACGTTTTTCCGTTCACCCACCCTAAATCTACACACGTCTCCAAGCAAGAGTCATTTGAATCGATCCTCATTTCTTAAAACATGCACTGTCTTTTAGAGTAGCAAACATGGATTATTTATTTGAGCTAACTGTCCTTCGGACTTTACCTTCACGCACAATCCTCAGTTCATTGATTCAACCTTACCCGGAGGCACTATGACACGCATTCGATCAACAATCACAAACATAACGTACCCGGGTGGAACGGGTGTGTGTG